GAAAACATATCGTTCATGACTTCCACGGTGTCCAGACCTGTACGCTGAAATTGCTTCTTTTGCTGGTCAATCCCAGTGGCTTCTTTCGCCAAACGAACGCCGCGATTTATGAAATCATTAACTTCACTTCAGTAGAAAGGTGCTGTATACATGAAAGAAAGGTTAACAGTGACATGTTTAAAAGCAAACACGGACCATTCAGGACCATTCTTGGCCTTTGAGCGGTACTGTACTCAACTAAGTAAAGTAGGCATGCTTGCTGTTTCCTTTACAACTAAATAACTGAGTTGGGAAAAGAAATATAATTTTGTACAAATTGTCATGTTTAATAAGTCAGTTGTCATGAGTACTATCTCTCTCACTGGACAGTTAAGTGACTGTAGTGCACTGTATATTTTGTACCTTTGACTATTTGCTTTTACTTACCCTGCAAGCACATTAATTACTTACAACACAAACGTTATGATATAATTATATTTTTTCCCACAGTTCAAGAGAGGACAACTTTTCTTTCTGTTGAAAGAAACAGGTACAATTTGAATGCATGTTAAAATAAAGTAGTATTGTTCAAAATAGAATTAACTATGGTAGTGTTTCAAATGCATTCATAAAGTTAACAAGCAATCTGTGTACTGAATTCAACTCACCATCGATCTTCAAAAAGTATACTGAATAGTTCACCGGATGCAGTAACTCCCTTACAATCACCTCACTAACACGAAACTGAATTAATTGCCGCTCTTCCCTGTCACAAAGAAAAGCTCAGGCATCATATTGTATAAAGAACCCCTTTAAAAACAGCCATCATGTTAATGTTATATCCCAAGTGTTGTGCCCTCTTAGTGGTTAGGTTAACACTGTACTGCTGATGCAGTGTACAGTAGAAACATACCAAGTGCGAATTCATGTAGTTTTAATTAACTAAACACCTGACTTTAACTTGTCAGTAAGCAATATTCAAATGGAGGGTTGGTGTATTTGACATCAAAGTAGGCAATAAGCAAGTGAGCATTGAAAAAATGCATATAAATGGTGTAAGCATGGCAACCTCCCACAGGTCACCGCCCATGGCACCTGTCACACTATATGATTATTGACAAATCTCATTGAATAGAGTACTTAAAGTGGTATCTAATGGTGGATAATATAATGAAGGTTTGTATGTATACTAACTGCCACTTGTTGTTTAATGAGCTTATGCTCCCATAGGCTGTAGGCCTGCATGTATAAATTAGCAATTATTGATTAATTGATTGACCTAATAGTGGTTATAGTTATGTGCTTGCCATCACAAGGTTGTATATAGCTTCACGTTATACCTGGGAAAAGGAGGTCCATCTCAGTGAATTGATATTTGGAAAAATTTGGAAAAATAGCCAACAGTATTTATTTTATTTCAATTTTATGAGGTTCATTAATATTTATAATATATGACTGAGAAAATTACCTTAGTATGATTGGCTGAGAGTAGGCAAATGCAAATCCATATCCACGGGAACATTGACTCTGTCATTAATCAATGTAATGAGCAATTCAGGACTTGCACTGGCCATGATATTTGAAAATTCTTTCAAATTACATTCATGCATAACTTTCAAATATCACTTGTAGTGCCAATCCTTTATTGCACTTGCATTCACAGGATAACCTACTGAAACTAATTAATTAACACCATTTTGTAACTGTTTTCATTAGGAGTGTCGCAACCCAGATCCACCTTGAACTGGGATATTTATATCTTTACTACTATGACACCACAAAAGCCAGGGTAAGTGAGTAGTTAATTACAATGCGCTTGCCATGAAATCCTGGGTGCCCAGCACTTAAGTTTCCATGAAAGAAGTAAGTTTTATTGAGTCGTCCAAAGGCAAACGTTAGTCATGTGTGGCACCTGGGCTTTTGTAGATCACATCCCTGCTATCACATTAAAAACATGTTTAATCTCCAGACAATCTCCTGGTGAAGATTGCTTCTCTTATTACATATTTTTTCAATTCTTTCATTGTTTATTGGTGAGGGTATTTGGGGTAGCAGCAGGTTGCATTGAACTCCCAATAAATCCTACATGCATACTTTCAGGAACATTTCACTGTGGCTCAGTCCAACTTAGGCTTACAAGTTGAAATCACAGGTAAAATATTACTAAAGAAAAAAATGACTTTATTTATTCTTGATAGATAGATAGATAGATAGATAACCTTTATTTTAAAACGATGAGTATTAAAGCTACATGAGCTTGTGGGGTTGTTTGTAATTAACTAATCGCTAAGTAACTAAAAAAACTAAAAACTAGGGGTATTTACAGAAAAAAAGTTTGAACCTAAGTCAGCGATATATACAATAAGAGATTGTTAGCATAAGTTTTTAAGTATATACAAAGTCATCTTTTCTAAAACTACAAGTGGATGCAGACGTTATCTTAAAGCTGAATTCATTAAAATTAACTAGAGATGGTCAGTGTCTATACCACAAAGGCTACTGGGCCAGCAATTATTAATTTATAATAAATTATATATTTAATTGTCAAAAACAAATATTTGGTAATAGACATTAAAATTAACTGTGGCAAGGTTAAAAACCCCAACTGGCAGGAGGCACACCGGTTGGTTATTCACAACCATGGTCGAGTAGTTGAACTTGGATCTGCTGTAAAACAATTCCAGTTAGCCAGTCATCATCAGAGGGGACTTTGAACATGGAACATCCGTGTTTTAATACTGGCACCTTAACTACTTGGTCTTGGTCTCCAATAACTGCACTCTTAAGTTTCCAATATTTGTAATTATTACATGGATTGTGTTTGTAGCTGTTGTAACGTGCACTCTGATTGGCCAGTTGTAAGGCATTATTCTCCCGTAATGCCCATGGGCTGATTACGGGCCCGCAAAACCAAAGCAAAAAGTCATATGATAAACAACTTATTAACCTCGCTATTGTTCAGTCAATACAGTAAGGTCTCGGTTTGAGATTTTCCCATAAAGACCTCACTCTTGGTTAATAAGTAGTTAATATCAAAACAAGATATTTTTGAAGTAACTGCATGACTGTAATGTTTGATAATAAACCTTCCGTGAACATTTGTATTGTTCATTTGTCAGGTGCTCTTGGAAAGAGAACAAAATTTCAAGAAAATGATTTTGCTCAGCCAGTATTATTGGTTCAAAGAGAAGGAACCATCAATGGAATTCCAACAGGTAGGGCAGTAACAAATTTGTTTCCATCGATCTGAAAGCAATTTATTGTTCATAGATCAGTGGGTAGCATTGTGCTTGACAGAGAACTTTTAAAAACCTGTTTCTTTGTCAGGTTCCACATGTTAATATCTGTAGCTGTACTATTATTTCTAGCTTTAGACTTCTTGCTGAAGAGAGAGAGACAGCATAAACTTTTTTCACATTTATACAGACACTAGCTGCTGTTGAACCCAGAGCTTTAATTCAGAGTCATGGATTTTTGGCTCATGTAGATAACTATAGTTAAAAACTTCTACTCATCAGATAATTGACTTTGCCTCTTGCATGAAACTTTTGTATCAGAAGAGGTGGATAGTCCTCAGTATGATGCTGCTACATGCATTTAAACAAATAAAATGAATAAGTATAGTATGACTGTAATAAAGATACATCAAACTTCGGCATGAG